TCCATCTGGGAAACAATTTTCAGAATCTTGGTCTATTGAGCAAGTTTAGGTTTGCTCTTTACTGAGCTGTTCTTGCTTAGTTTTCTTTCCCATTACTGGGGGGGGGGGGGTATATATTTATTTATTTATTATTATTGTTATTTGTTTTTGATTTTTAAAAACCAAAGTTATATTTGAATAATATTTTCTATGCAGAAAAACTGCCCACAAGGGCTCCCCAGGTCACATTGAACATACAACATTATCATAGATAAGTGAGGATTTTAGGGTTCTCACTAAGGCAATGGTAGAATGGATGGCGAGGACAGGGTGTGCACAGCAGTTGTCCTCCAAGGTAGAACAGCTGTGGAAAGCAAGGGAGAGAGGCCCAGGAGGCCAGAACAGCTGCTGGCATTCGCCTTGGGTGCCAGATGGACGGCAGCAGTGCTGATCAAGTCATGGAAGGAACAGACGTGTGGGGAGGGGGCTCTGTGTGTCCAGGTGGAAATTGAGCATTCAGCAGCCTGACACCCAGACATGTTGCTTGGGCCTTCAGTGAAGGAAGGATTTGAAAGTGTCAGGGCATGGATGGAGGTCGAAGTGCTGTGTGCCCAGGAGATGACCCTGAGAGATATATCGAGGGCCACCTTGACCAAGGACATAACTCTGAGGAGAGAATCACCCATTACCCACCTACAGGCTGAAATTCCAGTTCAGATTTATTTTGTTAAAATGCCTCTAGCCCAGTGGTTCTCAACCTGTGGGTCGCGACCCCATTGGGGGTCGAACGACCCATAGAGGTTGCCCAAGACCGTCGGAAAACACCTATTTCCGATGGCGATTCATAACAGTAGCAAAATTACAGTTATGAAGTAGCAACAAAAATAATTTTATGGTTGGGGTCACATCAACATGAGGAGCTGTATTAAAGGGTCGCGGCATTAGGAAGGTTGAGAACCACTGCTCTAGAGAGACATTCCCTAACTACCCCTATCACCCTCATCTGGCTCTTCTCTATCTTCCTATAATACTTTTCCTCATAGCACTAACCAGTGCCTGTCCTTGGTATTTGTTCACTGTCTGTCTCTCACTGGACTGTAAGCTCCGTGAGGCAGGGGTGCGGTTCTGTTGACTGCTGGAACCCCAGAGTGGGGACCATGCCTGGCCACAAAGTGGGTGCTGGTGCTGGTTTCCCACGGCTGCCGTAACAAAATACCACCGTGTGGCTTGAAACAACAGACATTTATTCTCTCTCGGCTCAAAAGTCCAGAAGTCCGAAATCAAAATGTCAGCAGGGTCGGCTTCTTCTGGAGACTGAGGGAAACCGTTCTCTGCCTTCCTTCTAGCGTCTGGTTGTGGGTGTCAGTCCCTCCAGTTTCTTGGCTTGCAGACACATCATTCCAGCCTCACCTCCGTTTGCACATGTCTCTGTGTGTCCTTTTCTGTCTCTTATAAAGACCCTCTCTGTATTTAGGGCTCATTCTCTTCCAGTATAATTTCATTTTAGTTCATTACATCTATGGAGACCCTATTTTCAAATAAGGAAGGTTATATTCTTAAGTTCCCGGTAGACATTGATTTGGGGAAGGGACACTATTCAACCTACTTCAGTGTTCAATAAATATTTGATGGATAAATTTGCAGTGTAATTCTAGGCTGCAAGCCCTTGGGCATTTCTTTCATTACTGTCTTAATGACTGTTCTACAGAAGGTAGGGGTTAAGAGGTCAGTTTAGCTCCAGACCGCTTGGGCTCCAGTTCTGGTTCTGTCATTTTCCACTTGTGAGATCTTGGGCAATTATTTAACTTCTGTACACATCAGTTTCCTCTTCTTTATAGTAACAAGGAGAAATAGCAGTAAGTGCTCAACAAGTGATCACTGATATTATGTGTCTGCAACTATTTAAAAATACTTTACAAATGTAATTAATCCTCATAATAGCCTATGAGGTGGGTTTTTTAATTCTCATTTTACAGCAGAGGAAACTAGGTTTGTTTCAGGAATTAAAAACTGAGAAAATATATGTATCATTTTGTGAAGTCCCTGACACATGCTGCAGAGAAATTCTTAGCTATACTAATACAGATAAATGTGACTTAGGCACATAACTTCAAGACTTCTCTTACAAATGTATTCATAATCAGAAATGAGGCCCCTCAGTTTTTGCTGATGTGGTCATTGTCACTGAGGGGTACGATTCCTGGGAAGACGAGCAGAGAGGTGGCCAAAGGTAGGAACATTTGGGCAGTCCAATCACAGTATGGAGCCCCGGTGCTGGGGGGAACTAGCGCTGGGGGTGTGAGGGTGCTAAGAAGACAATTCCTTTGAAACTTGTTAAGGGCCTGTTCTTATTACCTTCTTCCCCGTGACTACTCTGGTGTATTAGGGTAAGGGATTGATGTCCCAGAAATATTTTATACAGCAAACAGAATGTCTACCCAGGCTACTGTGATCACATTTCAATGTGCCGGAATATATGACTTCAGATGATATGTTTCCACCTTTTCATTAAACGCATCTCCCTGCAACAGGTAAATGTCCAATTTACTTGTTTCTTGCTTTGTTCTTTAATTTTTATTTTAAACACTTTGTGTTTTTAGGTCTCAGCTAAAAATATCGCATTCTAATTATTTGAAGCCAGTCCCACGTTATTTACAAGTGTTTTCTGTAGTTTATATGTTTGTTTAATGTGTGTATTCCACTAGACTGAAAGTTCCATGAGGGCGGAACTCATTCATCTGGCAGCTAGCAAACCCTGAGTGAGGGTTACCTGAACGGGTAGCTAAAGAGATAAGCCATGGGGTGTAGCCTATCTGGTTTAGCCACTCCACCTGTTATCATCCTGGGATTCTGGCTGCTTCTCTAAGATGTCTCTGTCTTGTTCTCAAAGTGGCCTTCTTTGGAGTACTGAGCACTGAATTGGTTTGTAATATATGTAACCAAAGTTTGATCTATAAAATCACCCTTTCCAGAGGTATGTTCACTACCTTTAAATTAATTTTCTTCATAAATATCTCTTTTTCTTTTAAATTGTCTAATTAGTTGGATTTGTGCTAGAAATGCTAGATCATAAAAATTTCAAAGCAAGAAATATTTTTTGTTAGATTGAAGTATTTTAAGAAACTAGATGATGGTTGTTACTTTAGGTTGAAAAGCAAATGTGGCAGAAGTTTTTTTTAAGGAATAATTCAAATAAGTCATTGGAGATTATTGTGAGCCCTTTGCATAGTTAAATTTTGAGATTTCTTGCATTTTTATGATTTCTTACATTATGAAGTTTATTACAAAGAAGAAATAGCTGGTTACCCTCATGCAAAGAATGTCTCAAGTATTCACTCTAGTGCCTTTGGTAACTAGAACTGGGTGGGTTTTCTTGCTAAAAGGAAGTCTAAGGAATGCTTTTTTTTTTTTTTTTTTTTAACCATCAATGCAATCAGCGTTAGTTCTCAGAAGAGCACAATATAGCAGTGGGATAGAGAGGGAGACTCTCAAATCCACCTTCAGCTACTTGAGTTTCACAGTTCCTGTGGCACGTCCACCAGAGGGCAGAAGAGCAATGAGGTGAAAGAAATGTGTACTTGGATTCAGAATGCCTGAAGAAACCCTGAGAACTGCGTTAACTGCGGCCCAGGAAGACTGATGAGAGCTGGCGGATGAATCGCCCAGGCTCTTCATATTTCCCGGCTGGCGAGGCAGTATCTTCACAAAAATACAGCCCTGAAATGACACGGTCCCTGGAGAATCCCAGCTCGGCACTTGCTAGCTGTGTAAACTTAGGCTGGTTACTTCGACGGCCTAAATCTTTCATCTCTGAAATAATAATACCTACCTCACAAAGTGGTTACCAGAACTAAAAGAGAATGCTTGTAAAGTGTTTAATACAAAGCCTGCCACTAAGAGATCAGTTTTTGTGAATTATGGTAAACTTGTCAGGTACTGGATTTCAAATCTGATGTTTGGAACCCCGAGGGAGTCAATGTTTCAACTATTGTACTATATATACATGCAATATTTTTCTGCTTTCTCGTCATTTCAGAAACTAAAATGTGCAAATCCCCCCTACTACAATATTCAAGGAACAGGTGTCTGATACATATTTTGTTGCTTATTTATGGCTTCCTCCAGAATAATGGAGATGGATTTATTCAATAACCTCATGAGTAATGTTTGCAATTTCCATTAGATCTCAACTAAAAATGGATAAAAAACATTTCTAAGAAAAACTCAATGTGATCCTTTTTTCTTTTTCTGCCAAACATTTGATACACGGGGGCTTCAAATGGAAAACTAGTGTTTACCACGGCAAATGCCTGCATACCTGCAGTGCCCTCCTCCACTGCCTGGGGAGGAGCGGCTGCTAGAGGATGCACACCGCAGGGAGTTGTTGGTCCCGGGGCTGTCTGCCGCTGCTCTCCACAGGACATCTTGAACCAGGTCTACGGAAGCAGGCTGGGGTTCTCCCTCATCCCTGCAGCCCCAGCGAAGTCTAAGATAGTCTTGCAAAAGCAGTTTCTTCACTAGACGTGTAACAGAAGGCAAATTTCCATTTACTTAATGCAAACAAGGCTCGCCCTAGAAACGTTCAACTTTTTAAAAGGTAAACTTGGCCTTTAATTGCCAGTGCCCAAGGTTATTTTGACTACGCTCGGCTAAAAGGAAAAGGGTCTAGGATGAGACAGGAGGTTTTGCAGAGCTCAGACGTAACGCCTTTGCGCCCCAATTACTCCATTTCCTACAGCCAAACTTTCAGGTCTCATCTAATTTCATGCTGCCACCGCGAGGTGTAAGGTTGGGGGGGGGGGTGTGGTGGAGGGGGTGGCGCAGCATTTCGCTTGGCTTCGCATCTGCCCCTGAAGAAGAACTTTTTGAATGCAAAGAGGTGGGGTTGTGGAGGATCTGTCACTAAGGGTTCTTATGGGTGGGACTCGGAGAAGGGAATGAGGAGGGAGTGGTCCGCGGGTGGGATCTGTCGAGCAGACAAAATGTGGGGGCCCTGTCCCTTCAAGTTCAACTGGTCTCTTCCTGAGTGAGGAGCAAGACATCCGTAGTTTTCTCCCAGGGGCACACGAAGGAGAGAAAGACAATCAAGATAAGAGTGGGCAGAGGGGAAAGCGAGACATGTTCTCCGTGAAACGGTCCCCTGCCCTCGCTCCGGACGAGCGCTACCGGCGAGCCGGGGCCCCGAAGCAGGTAAGATCCACGAATCTATTCTGCGGACAAACTGGTCCTATGACCTCTCAATCCGGATGAATTCAGGGTGCACCCCTTCTGCCTCTTGCCCCCTCCTCCCCTTAGTTTCCACCTTCTTTTCTTGCTGTTGGTGAACTTTCCCAGCCCCTCGCTCAGAGTCCTGCCACCCGTCCCAGGGCGCACGGTCCGGGACCCTCCCAGGGTCGTGGGCAGGGTTCCTTCAATGTTGGAGTCGGGCAAGTCCAGAGACCGCCACTCTCCTTAGCAGGAGCAACACCACGTCTCCTGCAGAGTCCCTCCTCCACCCTGCGACGTCCACGCATCAAGTGGCCTCTCGGAGCGTGGGCGCTTGGGGAGAACGCAGGAGTCCTCGGAAGCAGCCCCTCGGGGTCCACGCTTCCTCTCCGCTCCCGCCTTGCCGACTCCTTGAATCTGTAAGGACCGCAGCAGCCTTGCCTGCCCAGACGTAAGCCTCCAACCGCTGCGTGCGCCTCGGTCTTTCCCTCTTAGAACCAGGAATGGCACTCGGTTTCCCTGCAAGCAGCTGGTGCTCGGGATCGCTGGACCATTCTGAGCCTTGGCACATCAGAGCCGGTTCCCCTTGCAGGGGGCCGGGAATTCCTGCGTTCCCTGCACACGGACGCGGGCTGCGGCGCGGACCCGTTCAGGCTGCTGGCACCGAAGGGCGCAGAGTCTGAGCTGCTCGGGTTTGGCGGGCTCCGATTCTCTCGTGGGAAAAGGCAGCCTTATTCGCGAGAGGAAAGGTAGGGAACGGCCCTAATTTACCACTGCTCTAATTCGGTGCCAGGAAGGTCCCCACTGCACAAGGCCAGGTACTGGTAAGCGCTTTGTGGCAGGGACTGAGGGCGGGATGGTGGTGTGCGCATCCTGCTGGGACTCATCCCCAGCTCCGGCGGTGCTGGGCGCCCCACTCCTGGTGCCACCCGCTGGATGGCGGTGCAGGCGCTTTCTGCACTGCTGGTCATTCCTGGGACCCAGCCCTGGAGCTCCCAGGGAAGCAGCGCGGCTGGGCATTCCCTGGGAACGGGTCCCAGCAATTCATAAAGTGATGCTTTTCTTCCGCGGGGAACTTCTGAAAACAAAGGCAAACTTTGTAAAGGAATTCCTGACTGCTACCAGAAAGACAGCGAAGTCAGGTCTTACCGGTGATCATTATCCAAAGACAGACATTTTAGCAGAAGGTGTTGACATAAAGGATGCTGCAAAATATTAATTTTGGCGTAACCCAGAGAGAATGAGAAGGAACAATGAATTTTTTTTAAGTTACAACATCAATTTTTGTCACAGTCACAACATCTGCCAGCTTGTTTGTATCATGTGGTGCCAATAGCTTTGTTGTGCGAAATGACGTTGAAAATCAGTCCCGGAAACCAGGTTCCTGGGGGTAGAGAAGTCAGATGCTGTCTGCAGAGACATGTGTGAGTCTGGGCTGAGCAGTCAGGTTTTCCATAGGATCCTTTCCAGATCGCTGAGAGTCGCACTCGGATGAACTATTTGCAGAGTTATTTGGGTGTAGAATCACATAAACCTCAAAACCTCAAGATGCTGGAAAGCTTTCCGTAGGATAGGATTACAGTCCAATGATGAAAGACCCAGTTAACCCTCCAGGAGGTTAAAGGAACAAGGATTGCTTGATTAATCTCGCCAAGTATATTTCCAGGCATAGTGGAACTTTTTAAAAAGATGTAAAATTAATCACATCAGAAACCTTACTCTTAATGCTGCAGAAATCTTAACAGCAACAGCACAGAAAGCATCAGCGACCCCAGCACAAACTGGCTGTGTGTGTGTTTGGGGAGGACCCTGTTTCCACATGCCTTCATCTGGCTTTCAGCACTTGTGGACTTTGTGGTCCTCATTTGCCCTTCTCTGTTGTTGAGGAGGAACAGGAGGTTGCAGGAGAAGCCTAGCAGCCCAATATCTCCAGAGAATTAGCCTTGCCACTCTGAAACCTGTAAACCTGAGTCTCCAAATCTCCGTGCCGCTGGGGAGGTACTCTGCTGACCGGTTCCCTTTCCCTTACCTCCAGCCTCCCCACGGGAAGGCCTGTGGCCTTAGGGTTTCTGAGTATCTCTGCTGCTGGGGAACGGGAGCTCCCTGAAGACTAGGAACACTGTGACAGAGAACGTTTGCTGAATGTGTCCAAGGGAGAAAGGTTTCTTTAAGGTGTCACTTCTGCCTTAGGAGTTAGTCAGCGAGTATGTGTCCATGTGTCATTTGCTCCATCATTGTTCTTGGCATTCCATTTTGTCTGACCAGGTGGAAAAGGGAGCTGGTTGACTAAAGGATACTGACCTGTGGAGAATACCAGATGCACACTCAAAGACCCCCCACACCCTGCCAGACTAACCTGTACATCACAATCTACTCAAATACACACACGCATACACACACCTTTGTGTTTTATTTTTATTTTTTATTAATTAATTTTTGTTACAGATGTTTCTCCTTTTTCCCCCACTGACTCCCCCCTCCCCCTCCCTCCCTGCCCTTTCCCCAGTTTGTTGTCCATGTCCACTGTTCATGCATACATGCATGTAAGTTCTGTGGTTTATCTCTTTCCCACCACCCCCCTCTTCTGGGGATTGTCAGTCTGTACCCCACTTCCACGTCTCTGGGACTACCCCATTCCTCAGACTGTTATGTTCATTATATTCCACAAATGAGTGAGATCATATGAAACTTGTCTTTCTCTGTTTGGCTTGTTTCACTTAGGATGATACTCTCCAGGTCCCTCCATGTAGTCTCAAATGATAAGAGATCTTTCTTTCTTACAGCTGCATAGTACTCCATTGTGTATATGTACCACTGCTTTTTTATCCATTCGTCTACTGATGGACACTTGGGCTGTTTCCAGATCTTAGCTATTGTAAATAGTGCTGCTACAAACATGGGGGTACATATATTCTTTCTGACTGGTGTTTTAGGCATCTTAGGGTGTATTCCTAGAAGTGGGATCACTGGGTCAAATGGAAGTTCAATTTTTAATTTTTTGAGGTAACACCATATAGTTTTCCATAGTGGCTGCACCAGTCTGCATTCCCACCAGCAGGGTACTAGAGTCTCCTTTTCTCCACACCCTCGCCAACACTTGTTGTTACACCTTTGTGTTTTGGAGTGTTCAGAAAGGGAGGGAATGGAGGACATCACAGGAGAGAAAGGTGCCATAGACGATGTGAATAGAGTTTGGATTTTGATGTCAAAGCTAAATCCAAATCTCTTAAAAGCCGCAGGCTCTGAACAAGTCAGATAATCTTGTTGAGCTTTGCTTTCCTTCTGACCAATGGATGTGATACTATTGACCATCTCTAAGGACACCTAGTGGACTAAGGAAACAATCATGTCCTAGAAATACTATATGTAACAGTTGCAAGTTCTGTGAAGGCTCTCTGACCTGTTTGTAGTTATGGAGCTGGCCCGTCTCAGACTCACTGGGGCGCCCAGCCCTTTCTCCACAGCCAGGCTTCCGTGATTCTAGAACTGTGCTGTCCAATAGAGTAGCTGCTAGCCACAGGAGATTACTGAAATTAATGACAATGAAATCAAATTAAAAATCCGGTTCTTCAGTCTCACTAGTCATACTTCAAGTGCTCAATAACCACATGGACCAGTGGTTGCTATATTAGTGTAGATAGAACATCTCCTTCATTGCGGAATGTTCTCTGAGAGCTTTCTTTCACTTGGGTGATAATTTAACGAGACTTCTAGATGATAAAAGTTTTGCCTGGCTGGTGTGGCTCAGTGGTTGAGCGTCAACCCGTACACCAAGAGGTCACCAGTTTGATTCCCAGTCCGGGCACATGCCCATTTTGTGGGCCAGATATCTGGTGGGGGGCATGCAGGAGGCGGCCAGTCAATGTTCCCTCTCATCGATGTTTCTATCTTGCTCTTCCTCTCCCTTTCTTTCTCTCTAAAATCAATAAAAAAATTTTTTTTTTAAGTTTTGTTGTGCAGCACCTCCCTTTGCTTCTTTTACAAATGCTCCATCATTTGTCGAATGGGAAATGGCTAGACTCACTTATACGTCAGTCAACAAGTGTGTATTACACACAAAATCCTTGGGAATTCTCCCCTCAGTTTTGGTGATTTTTGCTAACGTGTGGTTCTTTATGAGCTTTATGGCTGATGGTTTTCCTGCTCTTTGAGCAGAAACACTGACAACACAGGGAGGCTCTTACTACCATATACCCGCACATTCCTCCTGTTTTCCACCAGAACGACGCTAAAACCTGAGGCTCAACATTTGGATCAAAAATTACTGAGTGTTAGATTTCTTCAGATCCAAAACTAGCACTTGCCTCACTCCATAGGACCCCTTCCTGAACTAATCTCTATTTGACAGACTATGTATTTTATTTCTTAACTTTGGTTATTTTCTGTCTCCTCCTGCGCTAAGCTCTAAGCTCCGTGGAGGCAGAGATTTGTCTGTTTTTGTTCATTGCTAGAGGAGCGTCTGGCACGTAGCTGGTACCTATTAACAATGTGTGAACGACTGCGCAGAAGTATATTTGGAACGAGGTAAGATAGATGGATGCTGTATTTGTTTCCTAGGGCTGCTGTAACAAATGGCTCACAACCTGGGTGGCTTTAAAACAACAGATGCTTATTTGCTCACAGTTTTGTAGGCCACAAGTCCAAAACCAAAATGGCAGCAGTGCCTCGTCCCTTGAAGACTCTAGGGAAGAATCCTTCCTCCCCTCTTCCTAGCTTCTGATGGTTGCTGGAAACCCATGGCATTCTGTGGCTCGCATCACTCCAGTCTCTGCCTTCTTAGTCACGCATCCTTCTTCCCTGTTCCTTGCGTTCTTTCTCCTTATGAGGACGCCAGTCATATTGGATGTAGGGCTTACCTTAATCCAGTGTGACCTCACCCCAACAAATTACTAAGGCAAAGATTCTCTTTCCAAATCAGGTCACATTCTGAGGTTCTGGGGGGCATGAATTTGGGGGACACTGTTGAAGTCAGTACAGATGCATAG